TAATCGGCGTAACCAGCGTAACCAGCGTATCCACAGCGTAACCAGCGTAACCAGCGTCATCGGCGTAACCAGCGTAATCAGCGTAACCAGCGTAACCAGCGTCATCAGCGCAGCTAGCCAGCGTACCAGCGTACCAGCGTGCAATCACTCGCGGACACGCTTTGCTACGTCGCTCAAGAAAAATGAATTCATCAATAATGACATGAATGACCCAATTCGAAACGTGTTTTTCTCCGCACTTCTGAAGTGTTCAAGTGCAGGCCAAGTGCAACTTAATACCTTGCTGCAGTCGTAGAAAAGCTGCGTTGGGCTTGAGCGACCTGTTCTAAAGTCGTTGTTGTTGTTGTTGTTGGTTGTTTTTCTGTTTAGTTAGTTCTGTCGCATTCCGCCCTTGCTTCAGTCATCTGAGAGGCTGCCCACCTGGACAGAGCCGAGACCGTCCGACGTCCGGTGGTCGCTGCGGCTCCAGGCGAATGGTTCGATAGCGTGAGCTGTTTGATCTCCTTCTCCCGGGCGGCTCGAGACACCAAACCGGTCCCTTGGAGAAGAGAGGAGAGTCTCGGGGCGGGGAGAGACCGAGACTGGTTGAGATGGGATGATGAGACGTGTAGAAGTACTGCTTGGGGAAGAGGTTTAGAAAGCAACGACTTATACATCATTTTACATCCCATATGTTATCCCACAGATTTGTCCATATATAGTTCTTGTGAATCAACATGAATCAACGATTAGATCGACAGGAGTTCCTGATGCACTTGGCTAGCAACCACTCTTTGAGTACTTGAGATGCAGAGTTGGACCAACATCTTCAGGTCGGAGTGTCAACAATAATATATATATAATATATCCCTAGGCCTCCAAGCACCTTCAAGAGAAGGTGTTTGGGGTGGGTTTGGAGGGTTCAAATACCTACTGAGGAGGTACTGGAGGTGTAGGGTGGACTTTCAGTTCACACAGTTCCATATCGATGCTTCAAAAAAAATCCAAGACCATTAATGACCTGACACACTGGTTTTGTAGTGTCAAATCCTTCGTAAATCAACGGTGAAGCCTATTAAGATTACTGTATATGATTGTGGTAGGAATCCAATAAATCAATGGTTGTTCGGTAAGAACACAAGAACACATTCAATCGATGGTTGTTGTAAGCCGAACGGGGTTCCCTCAAGGGCGACCCTAGGATGCCAATTGGACCGTCGCGGGGAGGACGGTCGTGTGTGCGAAGCCACGACCAGCCTCGTCTCGCCGCCACAAGAACCAGACATATTCCAGATAGACACTCCAGGTATGATAAGACCATATGATGAGATGTCAAAAACCTATAGGTAAGTTTTTTTGGAAGGTGGTATGGGAAATTGTTAGGATTCAGGAGGTTGATTTTAAGTATTGGTTTAATAGCGGGCCCCCAGCAGAATCATGCAAATCACCAAGGCAGCGCTAGATTGGCGCTAGGTTCGCGGTGGATTTTTTGTTTGTAGATGTGTTTTAAACATGTTTCAGGTCTGGCAGGCTTGGGTGAACATGTATTCATTACTGCCATAGGTTTGAACCAACGAATGTTTTGGCTCAAGTGACTTGGCCAAAATAGCGTTTGTTCTCTCTTTTTGAGGGCGGAACCCTTGGAGAGACAGTTCTTTTTTGTGCAGGGAGGGACCCTGTTTTCCCATGAGCGAGTTGGGAACCAGCCTTGCTGCCTACACCAGGTACCAGGTGATTCATGCCGCCGCGTGGATGGAGTTCAGCGCTCACCTTCAGGAGCTGGTTGCTGAGGGGCGCGAAGGGGAAGCTTTGCGCCTCTGGGCCTCCGTGGTGGAGTTGGTGCATCTGGGGTCCCCAGGGCAGCCCCTCTCCATCGCTGGGTTCCCCCCGGTACGTCGGTTCGTATGTACCACCATACCGTGTGCAAGGTGCAC